CCCGACTGATGCAGCACTACACCCTTATGATCCAGTACCACCCCCCCCTGCTCCTATATCTCCCCCCGCTCCAGCATCACCACCCTCTGCTCCAACATCTCCCCCCGCTCCAGCATCACCACCCTCTGCTCCAACATCTCCCCCCACTCCAGCATCACCACCCTCTTCTCTGCCTATAACTCCTCTCCTGTCTGCTTCCCAGAGAAAATCTCTAGCAGAGAAATGTAAATTTTAGTTTAAATTCTTATAAATATATATCAAAGCACATAAATTTCAATTTGTATTATCATACATATGTGTTTCACAAAAACTGTCTTTGTACCGATATGCTTTCGTCTTGTTTTAATGAAAGGAATCATTTCAGTCAGTCAGCACAACAAACTGCTTGCTTTATTATTAATTCCTATGTAGAAAATAGCTGTATGAATCAGTGAAATTTATACTTTCTCATCATTTGCATAATGGATAAAATATTAAATGTTTTGTAAAATTAAATGAAATAGGTGTCATAACAGTGAAACTAATCTTTAACTTTTGTTTTGTTTTGTTTTCCACTACTCCTCACCCCATCCTCATCATCAGATGTGCAAGATGCTTTTACTGGGAAAAACGTATTTGTCCTTCTGTCAAAAGTAAATGCATACAAGTTGTTTTACTTTGACATTAATAAAATTGGTCCTGACATAGAACTGGAGAGTCAGGTAGGTACAATGACTATATAGTTTTCAAATATCACAGCTGCTACAGAATTTAACTAATCTTTTTTCTTTTAATACATTTGCAGTCTATTAACGCATTTATGGCTGTCATCGTGAAGGATTACAACAGCCAGAACACAGGACAGGCTGCCTTCATAGACTCATTTGCGATGACAGCAATGTGGCAGGGAAAAAGTCCTAGATTAAAAAAGGTAGATCTTACACATTCCAGAGTGTTTCAGTGTTACTCTTCCAGGTGTTATTTTATTTATTTTTTTTTTTGTAGATATGTTTATTGATTTTTTTTGTTTAATAACAACAACAACAACAACAAAACACAAAACAAAACAAAAGCTCAGCAGTGCAGTCCAGAGATAAAAAGAAATATAAGATGGGGGGCATACATACTTCCATCATTGTACAGTACACATCTAAACATTCATAAATGCTCGAGACAGGATGGTAGACACGTGTTCTTCAGCATAGTCCAAGAAGGGCTTCCATATGCGTCCAAAAACGTCAGTCTTAGAGTGGACGAGGCATGTTAGAAAGTCTAGAGGGATATATTCCAAAACGAGCTTCTTCCACCCAAAAATAGTAGGAGATTTATTAGAAATCCATTGTAATAAAATATTCTTTCGGGCACAGAAAATTAGAACATTGTACAACTTACTGTTATTTTGGTTTTGGATATGTTTATTTGGTAGACCAAGGAGAAGAGACACTGGATCAAGATCAATGTTAGTTTTAAAAATTTTCCTAATCTCAGCCAGAATAGATTTCCAGTATATCTGGATCTTGGGGCATGACCAAAGACAGTGTGTGAGGCTGCCTTCATCTATTTTGCATTTTGGGCACAATGAAGAGGACCCCGGTTTAAATTTAGACACTCTGTTTGGGGCCAAGTGAGCTCTATGTATTAGTTTAAGTTGCGATGCCCAGGAGCGATTACAAATAGTAATTTTTTGGGCAGAATTCCAAATACTGCTCCACATTTCATCAGTGATCTCGATATTCAGCTCTCCTCCCCAGGCCTGGGCCAGAGTTGGTATGTGACATTTATAGCATTTTAATGTTTTGTAGCACATGCTGAGTGACACTTCACGAGTTCCAAAGAACAATTTTTCGATGCCCACAATCTCAGTGTCCCTGATTAGAGTTGTTTCTTTTTTAATAAAGTCTCTTAGCTGGAAGAAACGGAAGAGGTTATTTTTTCCTACTCCAAAGGCTTCCATAACTTGATCAAAAGACATGAGGATCCCCTCCTTAAAAAGACAGCCCAAAGAGGAAACACCCTTAGCCACCCATTCCCCAAAACCTGCATCTAACATACCCGGAAGAAAGTCAGGGTTCTGGACAAAGGGTGTAAATGGGGATGTCTTCCCAGTTCTTCCCTCGATGTGTTGAACCGCCCTCCAGGCCTTGACTGTATTCACAGTGATTGGATTGTAACAGTATTTGTTTATTGTTTTTATATTTTTCAAAAAAAGCGGGCTTTTAAGAGGACAGTCACATAACGAGGCTTCTATATCCAGCCACACTGTGGATGAGTTTCCAGATACCCACTCTCGGGCATATAAACTAAGAGAACTCAATTGGTATTTTCTGAGGTCTGGAAGATCTAAGCCGCCCATGTTTCTTGGTAGCTGTAGTGTTGACATTTTTATGAATGCCCTTCTTTTGGCCCAGATAAAGGAACCAAACCAACTCTTTAATTTTTGGATCCATCTCTGAGTGAACAAAATAGGAATCATCCTAATTGGGTACAACAAGCGAGGGAGAATGTTCATCTTAAGAAGCGAGATTCTGCCCAACCAAGATATGGGAAGATAATTCCAGGTGTTATTAGTATTTTTGAATTGATGAAAAGAAAATATGTTGATGATTATATGTTTTTACAGATTTTTCTGTATCACCTATACAAAAATATAATCTCAGTCCAATGTGTGTGTTACTAAACATGTTTTGTTCTTGATATGAAAAAATCTTTATGTTTTTTTTCATTATTATTCACAGATGAACCAAATGAATTATGAAATAATTCTGGGAATCAACAATCAACACCACCACTGGACTTTAGTGGTAATAAAGGGTTTTTAAACTTTAAAAACAATTTATATCATACTTGTCTCATAGACAAAAACCACCTGAAAACTGTCAAATACACACTTTCTAGGTGATCTACCCACAAGAGAAAAAGTCTTTGTTCTTGAATCCACTGGGGGAATCAAAACAAGACATCCAGAAATGTTTGCAAATCACAAGGTATGGTTAAAAATTGAAGTTTAACTCGAGTATGAAAATCAAATAAAGTTTTTCTTATTAATATATCTATATTTACAGGGCATTTATGAGGAAGAAGGGGTGCAATGTCTCACGTTGGACATGTGACACAGTCAAGCATCCAAAACAACAGGATAGTATATCATGTGGTGTATTTTCACTGAAGGTGCATACATATTGTCACACAGTGTATGACTTTAGGATTTTGATATTTATTTTGAGGCATGTGCAGTGAATTACTTTCTTTGTTACTTCAATTTGAAGCCATTAAATGAAGCTGTTCATTTCAGTTTGCAGAAAAAATCCTATCAAAGGAGGTTGTGGATTTTCCTGTTTCCAATGAGGCGGTCTACAGCATGAGGTTGGAAATTGCTGTGAGACTTATCCTTAACAGTGGTGAGGATAACATTAATATTCTTATTTTCAGTGTTTATGACAATTGTGATCATGATTGCTATTATTTATAGTACAGACCAAACGTTTGGACACACCTTGAATTCAATTAGAAGGTGGGGGCTGCACAGTGGCGCAGTTGGTAGAGCTGTTGCCTTGCAGCAAGAAGGTCCTGGGTTCGATTCCCGGCCCGGGGTCTTTCTGCATGGAGTTTGCATGTTCTCCCTGTGCATGGTGGGTTCTCTCTGGGTTCTCCGGCTTCATCCCACAGTCCAAAAACATGACTGTCAGGTTAATTGGTCTCTCTAAATTCTCCCTAGGTGTGAGTGTGTGTGTGAATGGTTGTTTGTCCTGTCTGTGTTGCGCTGTGACAGACTGGCGACCTGTCCAGGGTGTACCCCGCCTCTCGCCCAGAATGTTAGGTGGAGATAAACACCAGCAACCCTCCTGACCCCATTAGGGACAAAGGGTGATTAGAAAATGGATGGATGGATGGATAGAAGGTGTGTCCAAACTTGGTCTGTACTGCATATGTTTTGCTAAGACATCTATACTTAGCCGAAACTTAATACATTAACATGGACTCTGAAAACATTTATTTAAGGAAATAGTTTGTCTACAAATTAAAGTACAATCATTTAATTTTCTATATTTTTTTTTCCAAAAATTACTGTGTTGCACATCCTGTGTTTCATACACACCCACATATATACGGACACAATTGTACATGTATAATTGTGTGTGTCGGTTTGTGTATGTTTTTATACTTTTGTTAACAGATGACCTAAAAGACTTGTGCCACTTCTGTGGAGAGATGGAAAGTGACTCAGATGTGAACTGGGTAGGAATTTTTTTTAGAATTATTCGAAGACTTAGTGTTAGTAAGCTAAATGAAGAGGACACGTTTTATATAATTTTATCTTGTGTAAACAAGCTATATGATCCACCAGCAGTTGGAATATAAGGAAATCTAAAACGATTGATTGTATATTGTAATAGTAAAGACATATTTTTCATAAAAAAAGCATTATATTTTTGGTTTCTTTCCTAGATCCAGTGTGACTTGTGCCTGAGGCATGTGTGGGAAGCCCACCAACTGAAAAAACTTATCACTGCTTTGCGTGTTTGCCTTAGGTTCTTGAGTTTGCTGTGGTGTGCTGGTTTATGTATGTTATATAATGGTTAATAAATTGCATTTTGAAAACTGTTTGATATTTATACTTACTTTGACATAAGGCATCTATGGAAAGATAGTTTAAATCCCAAAGCCCCTTACCTTTGTCAAATAAAGAGCAAATGGTACCAAACTTGCAGTATTTCTTGTTGATGATGAGAG